TGTGACATAGTGGGTCACATGATCTTCTAGTCCGTCGTGCCGTCATATATTTTCAAGTACGGCGGCATTTTGAAAGTTTTGGTATGGCATGTGGTGCCGCCTCATCACTATATGGTTGTTCCACGAACCGGCCGGCGTCCCTTTTTGGCAGAAGTTCCGGTGCGCCCGGTATCTTATCAACCCTTTCTTGATGTTCTTTCATTTGCTCTCGGAGCATCTTATTCTCGTTCTCCATCTCCTCCATTTTCCTCAAAATGGCCGTGAGGGTGTCGTTATCTGCACCATTAACATTGTCAGTAATACCTGTTGGGGCAGGAGCGTGTTGTTCTTTGAGAGTTGGCGCAGCGCGAGCCTCTGCTCCTTCTCTGCTCAGCCTCTGGGCTGGCTTGTCAAGAATGTTGGTCAGTGTATTTGTCAACCACGCCTCGAGTAGTTTCTTCACTGCGGGTGGTGCCTCCTCCATTGTGGACGTTGAAGCCGCCCTACCATGTGAAGTCGTGATGCTACCATGGGGAAGGGACGAGCTGTTTCACCAAGGAGATGCATTCGGTGTCATGTTCTCGTCTTCTGTTTTGTTGATGGTGTGAAGGAGGTTGGTAGTGATGTCAGCTATTGCTTTTCTCTTTTCCTCTCCATTACCTGCCATGTTAGATTTGTGCATACGGCAGAATATATAGGGTTTTCTGCATGTTGTTTTTCTTTTCTTTCTTAGATCTAGAAGAAACTAAGATTTTAACTAGGAAATCCACACAGACGGCGCCAAATTGTTTTATCAAAAAGTATGAAACCTTTTTGTTAAATTAATTAAATACAATGGTGATGGATAAATCCTTGTTAAACACAATAAGTTCTAGATTTGGCATGGACATGCATAAATAGTATAGAATAGCGTTGAGCCGGTTTAATACAAAGAGCATTAAATAACGTTACCAAAGTTGGATGGCAAGAAGGATGATGAGCAATAATTGTATTAAATGGCAATAAATATAAATATGAGGGAGGAATCACCAATTAGTGGAGAGGACAAAAGATTCCATCTTCTGATAACGTTGAATCACACGAATGCTAAAGAATATTGCTTACTTTCTTGGATCTGATGGAAATGACAAATGGAATAATCCACGAAAAGATAGTCTCTCTATAAAAGGTGGTTATTTGTATTTATCTTTGAATACTTCTCTTACAATTGAATCCCCATCCCCTTTCTATCTCTTCCCCTATTTATATGGGATATTCCCAAAGAATCCTAGAAAGTACAACTAGGGGGAATATTCTGTTGAATATTCTCTCCACAGATTCCAAAGCCAAACTAACCCTTGTTTCCCTTCCCTGCTTGATCTCGGCCCTAGCGAGCCACTCTATGGCTCGTTCCGCTTGTCATGGACCTCGGCTTTAATGAACCCTTCAACGGCTCGCCCTGGTCGTACTCGGCCGAGCCGCCCATGGTGAGATACGACCTCCATGATGATCACCTTTGCGTACTGAGTTTCCTAGATCGGATTTTAGCCCATACATTATCAATCATCAAAACCAAAACTGCTTAGGTGAACATTCCTTAATGTTTTTCTTTTTTTCCTGGAGTTCAAAGAAGAAAAAGACATAGTTGGAAACAGCAGCTAAAGTATGTGCCCTGAAACAACAAAATTTTTAACCTTTCCCCAAAGCAGAACAAACATTACGGTAGAAAAAAGAAAAAGTAAGGCAAGACTAATAAGGGCAGACAGCAATTATTCGAAGAAAGAAAGAAAACTTGCACATAATTACGTGCGTGTGCTATGCAAAAAATCTCAAAAAGATAAATCAGAAGCTAATGGTCAATCAAAACACGACAAACTTTTCTTTGGTCATAGCCGAAATAATCTGACAATATAAGCTACAAATATAGGGATCTGTTGTAATTGGAAGTTGGCAAAATATTTTCATTTTCGAGTCTATAATATTTTCTTGCATATATAGGTGCATGGATATCCATAAGGTTTACAAGGCATTTATATATACGTGGTTTTCAACCATAGCTGCAATCTTTCAATTTAAAATTCCAAGTTGTGCTCTGATGAAGGCTACTCTTAAATATTTAGTAGGTATTGCTGGGCCAAGTGGTTATGGCTCTAAAACCACTGCAGAGCAAGTCACTCAAAATTGCTCCTTTTCCCTTTCTTCTCACCTCACTGCAATTATCGCTGGTTAGTCTTCAGTTCTTTTTCCGTTTGAATGTATTTTTTTTCATCTGCTACTACAGATTTCTAGCTACTCATACATTCTTTTATCTTCATTTATCTGTTGGTTGGATTATTTTGAAGATATAACATACGAATATTCTTAGAACAGATATATGGGATTCTACTCTACTGTGTACTACTAGTCTCTCATAGATTAATGTTTAATACTAGTATATAATTTCCATCTGGACAGTACCGAGAACTAATCATGCTATCTTTAACAACAAAAAGTTCATTATCTATATATTTAAGTCACAGTCCACATTTTCATAAATTACAATTATAATGACCCTGCATTAGTTATTTAGTGCTCTCTCCATAGACTCATTTTGTCATGTAAAGATTAGACAGACCTTTAGGCAATCAGTGAATTTTAACCTTGTCACAACGGGTTAGTTATCAATTTTACCAGATATTTACCTGTAATTAATTACCTTATAAGTGACAAATATATTTTGCACCGACAGTGCACAGGACTTAAAATGTTATTCTTTTTGGATTTTGATGAATGAATAAATTACAGGTGCAACATCTGGGATAGGAGCAGAAACAGCAAGAGTGCTGGCAAAGAGGGGTGTAAGAATAGTTATTCCTGCAAGAGACTTGAAGAAGGCAGCTATGGTAAAAGAAGCCATACAAAAAGAGAATCCCTGGGCTCACATTATTTTATTGGAAATAGACTTGACTTCATTTTCTTCCATTCAAAGATTTTAGTCTGAAATTTTATCATGCAGAAATAATGCAGGCAAATTTTCACACAAGTTGGAGTTTTCTGAAGACAAAATTGAGCTCACTTTTGCCACAAACTACTTAGGTAATTTATCTTCTACAGTCCACTTTTAGCAATAACAACACTAATAATTCGTAATGATTGGTACACTATCAATGTATTTTGACTAGTTGTAGCAAGTTATGTACTACTCCAATATACTGTGTTACCAATTAGACTTACTAAGCAGTTACCTCTCATTACAGGTCGAATTTACCTGATAGAGTAAAAAACAATACACTGTCAGTGCATAGAAGTTAATCTCAGTGAGGATTGAACTTAAATTGGTTATGGTGTTGGGCAGGTCATTTTCTGTTGACAGAGATGCTATTAGATAAGATGGTAGAGACAGCAGATCAAACAGGGATTGAAGGAAGGATTGTAAATGTTACTTCTGTAGTTCACAACTGGGTGAAAAGAGATCATTTCAACTTCTGCCAAATGCTCAAACCTAACATGTATTAACTTCTCTCCTCATTAGTATATGTATCACTATAATCACAGATTTACATGTTTTGCAAGCATCTCATTTACTTTGAATTGCTTGTGTACAGTTATAATGGTACTCGTGCATATGCTCAGTCAAAATTGGCCAACATTTTACATGCCAAGGAATTGTCAAGACAGCTAAAGGTGAATATGTACCTATTTATTTCTTCATACACTAGAGGTCATCGCGAATAAGTTTGGGACTAACCTCAACGACTTTAAGATCGCCACAAAAATTTTTTTGGTGACTTTAGTCGCCACAAAAAGTCTCATTTCTTGTATCCGAAAATAGTCTTTTGTACACAAGAGTGCTTTTGGCTTCTTTTTTTTTTTTTTTGGTTTCGCTACTGAAAATGAATGTTGGAATGAACAGGCAAGAAACGCAAATATAGCTATCAATGCTGTCCATCCAGGTATTGTTAAAACTGGAATAACAAGGGATCACAAGGGCTTTATCACAGGTATGCATTTCCCTTTTGTTGTTTTTGAGCTTTTCTTTCCTTTTGCTTTTTCTCTAAAATTTTGTGGCAGAAACAAACAAAGACAACTAAAGGAACTGATGACTTTCTTCATAAAATTTAAACAGATTCTCTCTATTTTATGGCATCAAAGTTTCTAAAGTCAACATCACAGGTTCGTCCATATATGCTCGTCTTTCTTACGCTGTCCAATATCCTTTCAAATCTCATACAATTCTTCTTCTTTGTGGACATTTTTATCTTATTTTTTTTCTAAAAATGAACGGGAAAATAACTTTTGTATCAAACATTTCAGGAAGATATAATAATCAAGAGTAAATGTAGCTTTTGGTACTGGATAAGTGCATTCATTATCACTAAAAAATAGAAATATTAAGTGTGATGGTACTCGCACCCACTAATTGTTCTTTACTCTGTCTTGTATGACGAATTATTATCTCAATTGATTGGTTACCTGAACTTCCACCTTATTGACGAGGGTTCAATTTCCCATTGGAATGGCAGGGTTCGGCAAGTACATGCTATGTAGCAATGAACCCACAGACGAGGGGAGCAAGTGGGAAATACTTTGCAGACTGCAACGAATGTCACTGCTCAGCTTTAGCAAATGACGAAATTGAAGCTCATAAACAGTGGAAGCACACTCGGGCACTAATTCAACGAAGATTGCTTCCACATTTGGAATGACTTTTTCCTTAAATTTTTGGGAGAGGGAGAGACCTGTAAGTAAACAGATTTACACTTGTATATCCATCAGGACCAAAAAAAAAGGTAAGCACACTATAAAACGATACTAGTAAAAATTACATTGGAATTATGAAGACTTCTCTTTTCATTGTTTTTGGTAGTCCCTGGCAATTATGGACCATGGCATGCTTCACCTTTTCTCGTTGCACTTTGGACATTCAATCTACCATTTTGCTACATTCAAAAACACCATTAATACCCCTTTACCACCTATGCTTTCACATACCAATAACTTTCAAATTTTAGTGCTCACCCAAAGGGCAGAGACTGTGATGGCAGCTGCGGGTTTTCCTGGGGTTCCAAAAAAAATGGACGCACATCAAATTCATCAACCTTTTCAGGCATTACAAAAAGTCAAAAACTATTGATTTTGTTTATGTTCTTTTGAGATTGTCTTCGAATCAGCAAGCGAATAACTTTAATCCCAAAATAATAAATATTACTGTAATGGATTTTATCATTAAATGAAACACATATTACAGAAAGAAATGTTTGGTTGCATTCCTACTATCAACTGTTGCATTGTTAGCAACCAATTAACTAAGCCTCAATCCCAAACTAGTAGAGGGGAGCTATAAGACCTTTGCTTTTTTTAATCTGTGATGCTCGTCTCTCTTGCTATTCAACTTTCCATCAATAGGATACAGATCAAGTACTCATATCCAAAATAGAAAGGAGATAAAGAGTAGAAGGACAAGATAAAAAATAACTGCAACACTCAGCAGATTCTGTTCTACAATAGATACAAGATTAAAACATATGGGAGTACACCATAAGGCCTTGCAGAAACAACCAACAGAAAGGCCAAAAATAAATAAAAGGATAATCGGATAGATAACTTGAAAGCTGTGATAATATACTTCAGCAAAATCAATGAAGTCTTTTAGACCTAGGAAACAAAGTCAGCTAATTCAAACCCTAGGAAGGCTGTGAGGCTCCAGCATCCGCTTCATTATTATTGGCTCGTTAATTTCCACTCTTTAGGTACTTAAAATCCCATTTCATTTTATGTATCTTAGTTTATCTAGGTACAAAATTTAAGAATGTAATGAAGAGTGAAGACTTCTAAATCTTACGGTGTTAAACTAAAGGTGTATATAACATACTAAATATACTATTACAATGTTGTGGTCTTAAACATGCCATATCAATCCTATAAGGAGTGACATTAAGGGTTAGATGAGAACGTTGGAGTTAAAAACTAACTAAATATTTTTTTTTTATGACAGTGGTTTCTGGGTCAGCTTGCACGCACCTCGACTATTCCACCAGGTAGCTACTACCTCCCATCAACATAGCTACCGGGTAATTCTGCCAATAAGACTTGGGCAAATAAGGAGAAAGCACCTAGTATTTTTTGCCTCCGCTGTGATTTGAACCTGAGACTTCGTATTTAAAAAATAAACTTACAGATTATAAAAAGGTAGCATCCTTTTTTAAACAGACCAAAAAGGAAAAGTAAGACACTTAAAGTGAAGAGGGAGTATTTGCTGGTCAGTGCTGGCCAATTAAGACTTATGATGGCTGATCAACTTCAAGAAGGTGCTTCAACAAACTTAGATGAAACAAAAGGCTAATTTTTATCATTTCTTGACCTGCCAAATAGGAAAATTTTGCTTGTTAGGTACTCATTCTGTATGAAGTGCTTATTCAAATTCAATCTAATTGAATTTGTTGATGTTATGAGATGATTATTTAAGCAATGATGTTACACAATAGATATTTCGGTCAAAAACTATTCACGAGAAGGCATAATGAATAAAATTGTTTCGAATTAATTCACTTCTCTGTGATTATTCATCTAATGGTGTAAATTAGTGAAAATGTTTGTAATCGCTGGAATCATTCAGATAGTGTTATTAGTTGCTATGTTTTTCCTGTTAAACTTTATTTAGCGTGCGAGGGATTAAATATGTTTAGCTCAGAAATGGACATATGAATTCTGTGTGATTGAAGTATTGAACCTACAGATTAAAGATAACCATATTCCTCACATGCTCCAAGTTGACGAACCATTAATATTATACAGTGCTAAAATTAAAAGGCCTAAATGACACTGATAGTAAATGATGTTTCTAATGCAGATTCCACTTCTTAACTCTAAATTCCTTATTTCATGTTTTTCTGCGACAACAGTATCCCACACTTCAAAATCATGTTGCTGCACTAGCTTCATTCAAGCACATGCATATCTTTATTCTTTTTCCCTGATGTTCTGTAATATAAAATTTTCATATAAGAAATTGATAAATTGCTAAACTGGACTGATCCTTGTTATATAACAACAGTGGGCAAGATGACCATTTGCAAGTTTACCTGACTTTTCTCATGCATTTGTGTGTTAAGTCCCAATCCAATTTGAGGTCCAAATAACCATTTTCAGCCATAGGTGGTCTCTTTTTTCAGATCAGTTTGCCACAGGTGGTTTCACATCACAGCATTTATGAACAGAATAGTACAATCAAGAAAACAGATCGATTCAACATTACCCAAGGAAAAAAGAGTCACAGGATAAACAAACACTGGAACTAATTTGAGTGAATTGTCAAATATGTTCAAAGTTAACAGATAGATACCTTAAAATGAGGGGACCAGCGATTAGATGATGCAGATACAGGAGAGAGGACGGATGACCTATCCCGTTTACCGCGGGCAAGCTTCATGGAGTTTCTCTTATATTTATCAGTTTGAGGCTCCTCTTTCTGGGGTGAAGTTTCATCTCTACTATCAGCTGAAATGAATGAAATCGGGGCAGGCATAGGGATTGTAGTAGCATCCTGATCTTGAGATGTTAATCCTGGAAGGAACAGAATAAAAACATTCCCCCCAAAGTAGCTTAGCGAGTATATCCAAATTCTGAAACAATAACAGCATTTGCATGAAAACACTCCTATCATACTTGTGATTCTGCAGGCTGTAACGAACATGCCATTTTTATGGGGCTTACAGGTACCAATTAGTCTTTAATGATTTGGAGAACTAGCAATGTACAGGCATGATTTTTTTATTTTTTTTTTTAAAAAAGTTTGCAATCAGGAGAAGAATTAAGAAACAGGCAAGTCACAGGGCATACCACGTGCTTCAGCTTCTAGAAATTTCAGTCTCATCGTCCGGACGAACTTGAATAGTCCATCACTTTTATTTAACTCAATCAACAGCTCTTTTGCGTCATGCAGTTGTGGATCGCAATCAATCACTAAACCAAGCAAAGGAAAGAGTTATAATTCAGAGCTACCTTCAATTTATTAAAGTTGATTAAAAATCCAGACTTACAAGTATATACATCATTCTCATGACGGACGGTAAAGGAGTACTCCTTGTCTGGATTGTCGGCATCTACATTAGTAAAGATGAATTTTACTCCTGCAGAAAATGTAGGACATAAATGTCTAAAGAAAATTGTATCTAGATGTAGGCCATCAATGTTCGAATAAGGATAATTGTATCTATATTAGAGTTCAGAATCTGAATAGAGAGCTGTTCCTTTTTTAACATGTTCAGCAAGAAAAAGATTTAATCTTCTACTACGCTAAAAAGCGTCTACCATTAGATTCTGCGTACCTTGGCCACATTCTATACGTAAATGAAGCACCTTATTGTACCACAGAGTAGCCTCCTCTATTGCCTCTATATGTTCAGTATTCTGGTTAAGCTTTTCTTGAAATGCTTCCAGAGCTTTCCCCCCAACAGAAAAGAAATGCACAGCTCAATTACCAAACAAGGATATCAAGCACTTAATGGAAACAGCACAAATAGATAAGAACTTATGCACATAAAAGCAGCACCAACATGATGAACACAGAAATAACTTTTGCAATAAATAAAAGGAGCATTGTGGAAGGACAATATGAAAAAAACTAAATTGAACATTTTCATGTCTGACATTATTTTAGAGCTTGGGATATCACAAAGGAACAAGAGACAACTATCATTATTTCTTCATACTCCTTTCCACCAAAACATATACCTTTTTTTCAGGCCAAATCATATACCCTTTATTTGACCAGGCACAAAAGCACTCAGAGAGAAGATCAGGCTCCGTTACACTTAACTAGAACTTGATTTAGAAGCAACGATAAACTCAGCCATTTGACGAATATATAAAAAAGAGTCTCTTTTAACTTTTGATGGTACAACATTTCAAATACTTTAGAATGCTCTTATTAGGAGAGATGGCATGATTTTGTGATAGCCACCATTAGCTTGACACAAAGAGCATGTGATATTATGCAACTAAAGTTGGACGAGCACCAACTTGCACAACAAATATACTAGAAAACTAGATCTTTCTTTACTTAAAGTACTACTTAAAAGTAATACAGCACATTCTGAAAGTATCTAAGACTTAAGTCAACTTAATTGAACTAGTTAGACCTAACAGAACAAATTAAGAAAGACCTGTAAAATAATGAATGGGTTGGTGATGAGAACACGAGTTAACTTACAAGGACAGCTATTAAAATTTCCTCACTGTGAGGTAAACAGACCAAGATAGGCTACCTTCAGTAAAAGGAAAAAAAAGAGGCACTAAACCTATATGTTAACAAGTGTGCAACAATGATGTATTAATGTTTCAGGTATTTTCTTTTTGTATAACAATGGTGTCCGAGCCATTTTGTGTGCACTACCAGGTAACTCTGTCCATCAAATCTGAAACAGATAGGAAGAAGTCGCCTAGTATTTTTTTAACCTCTGCTGGGATTTGAATCCTAGTCGCCCATGGTCAGTTCCAGCTTCATAGGTCGCTAGACTGCCCCGGGTGCTGTTTCAGGTAATTTAACTGGCAATTAGTTACTTTCTCTAGTAGATTCCCTCTTCTAGAATTTAATGCTAAGCTAGAATGAAGGTGAGGGAAAAGAAAAGGGCAGCACGCCTAGGAATGATTTTCTACTGCTCCGACAAACTATTCTTTTAAATTAAGTGTTTCATCACAAGTGTGCAACACAGAAGTTCTGTATGATTCATTTCTCTGGTTAAAGGAAAATAACAAGTGATTTTGGCCAAAGTTCTTGCGAGGGAAACTTTTTTCGAGAAAGGAAATTCTAAATGATTCTCAGATAGTGATGTAAAGTATAAATGGCAGGTTTGGTATCCCATACATAAAAGAATTTGGTGACTATGGTCATACTAGGCAGAGATATGATAGATTATCAGTGGTGACTATTGTCAGCAAAATAGACAATTATACACAAATCTATGCCAAGAATTATTGGTTAAACAAGAGCAAATTTCTTTTTTCTCTAACCTCCCCAAGATCTGGCCAAAGAGTTAACCTCCATGCAACAAAAAAAGTTGCAAGAAATGAGAATTAAACATCCTTAAAGTAGGTATTGATATGCAAAGAAAATACTCACATTGTCACTTGTCTTAATATTATTAGTACCAGAAAAGAAAAGTTGAGTAAGGATACTTCTCGAAACATTTCCATGTCCTATTTGTGTAAATTACAAAACTCGAAAAACAACAACTCCCGTTTCTTAATGAATGAGTGAAGAATAACTCTTACAAGGATGAACTTTACCATCAGAATGTTGAGATATTAGGGCGGCATATTCAAGTTTCCTGGCCTTTTTATCTTCCACAGCCCCTCTAAGTTTTTCCATTCTAGCTGTTGTAGCAGATATTGAGTCTGCTATTGCTATTCTCATTGCCTCTTTTCTGGTTTTTACTGAAAATGAGATAACTTGATAAATTTATTAACAAAAAAGGAATGAAAAGAAGACAGCATGAGCATACAAAATTTTAATAAACTAAGAAGATGAATAATGAGTAACCGATTTTCCTGCTAAGGATACATATAAGTGTTTTTTTTTTTTTTTGATAAGGTATGCATTATATGTGTGCCTTAATTCATTATATGAGAGCAAGAACTGGAGCATTTGGTAACATCATGAATGAGTAATAATAGACAAAAGAAAAGAATCCCAAGCATTTGCCCTGTCACAGGTACTTTCCATGTGAATCTTCATACATTCTTCTTGTTTACCATCAAATACAAACAGAAGTCAGTAAAACTCTTAAAAGTTAGAATCCTTCCCTCTTATACGCTCTAAGTCTTGATTCTTGAAGGTGTCGTTACTTTGAGCTTTCAACTTTCAACTTTTGATGCTTCTCACCCTTACTAAAATCAGAGTGTTAAAGGTACAATGTATTAGCACGTTTGTCATACTTAAGTCATTTGCAATTGCTGGTTCACTAACCTAATTAGAAGTGCTAATGAGAATTCCACAATCAACATCCACAAGCTTAAAATGATCTAAATTCAAATTGTATACAGTTCATCTACCCTAAAAATTTGGAATGTGGAGTGAGTTCCATTGCTACGTAGAAGAGAATGATATCATTCAGAACTATCAGCTTCTTGCAGATAAGTTTTCCTCTCTTAATGTAAATGATCCATCAGATCTTGTTCTTTCCTACAAATATCCTGAAATTTCCAACTCGTGTCTTCAAAATACTAGTGTCTATTAATCATAAAAAGTAATTCTTTAGAACTTCCAAAGAACTATGCCTAAATGCAAAACTCCATAAGCACTCTCAAGCAATGTTGCTAAGGCTCACATGAGGCGCACTTTATTCTTGAAGTCGGGAGTAGGAGTAATGCAAGTTGAGCGTTTTGTCTCACTTAGGCAGCATTTTAATGAGTATATTAAGGCACTTAGGTGTGCACGTTATTGCCCACACAAGTTTAGTCTTGTAAAGGGCGATACTAAATAATTAATATAACCGGCAAAGTGACACATCAATTGTTAAGGAGACATTATGAATGAGTATGTTATTATCTAAGAATATGAACTATAGATTTAGTATATAAGATGATTAAAATCATTATTCTGATAATTTACTTCAAAATATTGCCTAATGTAGGCTTTTTCAAATTCAGTTATCTTATAAACTTTTATGTTTATATTTTTTTCTTTATTTGTGCCTTTCCTCCGCTAAAGCGTGCACTTGTTGCACTTTGCGGTTAAAGCACAGTCAGTTATTCAATGCTTTTCACCTCTATCAACACTACTCTTAAAATCTATGATCACCCTTTTTCCATTGCGATGACTATTATGAAGAGATGACAACAAAAGATTAACTCCAGTGATTTTCCATCCTCGGATGTGTTAAGCATTTGGATATATAAACGAAATTTGGACAATTAACTAGGACAGCAATGTCAACAAGGTGAGTAATATGAAACACAAAACCATCCTCAACCTAGACACGCTCATTTTGTTCATAAATTCTTCGACAGATCACAGAAAAATAGCAATGCAAATAAAGATTAATCATTACTATACCTTATGAAAAGAAAAGATTAAGCACTAGTACTACTCCATCCGACCCAATTTATGTGGTGGGGTTTGATTCGGCGTAGAGTTCAAGAAAAAAAGTAAACTTTTAAAACTTGTGGTGTAAAGTAAGTCATAGACTTTGTGTGGCTATAAATCATGTTATTAAGACTATAAATAATCTTATTAAGGGTAAAATAAAAAATTTTAAATTAAATTATTTTTAGATAAGTAAGTATGACATTCTTTTGGAACAGACTAAGGGCATGTTTGGCCAAGCTTCTCGGGGGCCGAAAGTACTTTTTCCTCCCAAAAAAGTACGTTTTAAAAAATTTAAGTTGTTTCGCCAAGACAGAGAAGTACTTTTGGCCAGCAGTAGAAGCAGTTTTTCTGCTTTTGGGAAGAAGCGAAAAATTAATTTATTCAAGACAAAACCGTGCTCACCTTAAAATTTATATTTTTCAAATTATCCCTTACTAATTTGAGTTTTTTCTTTTCATATTTATTAAGTACTAGTTTTTACCATTCTTTTAAAATTAAAGATATCATATACATGAATCATATTGTAACTTACCAAATTTTTATTGACTTTTCTTGTTTTTGATTTTTTTCTTTGTGTAATGTCTTGTAACTTTTCAAATTATCTTCTTCTTTTTTCACACTAAAGCAAATTATCTACATTCTTCTTTGGATTATCAATTCTCTTCCTACAAATAATCATTTATAATTTCTTCTATTATAGGATATTAGTTCCCGAATCTTTAAAACTGTTATCAAATCTAACTTGTAAAAATTACCTACAAATAGGTAATAAATTTACAATTGCATCGCATAATCTATCTATATATTATTAAAAGAAGAAAAAAAAGGCATCCACATTGAACCAAGTGTCAGGCTCACAATAGGCCGCTTGGAAATTTAGGACAAAATTAGTTAGTTAGGTAAGAATTAGTTTCTTTTTTAATTTAAATTTAAAAAAAAAAATATATGTTATGTGTTGTTAATAATTAGTTACTCTTTTTGAATTTGAATTTAAACATACCTAACTATTATTTTAATGAAAATAATTTTTTTTTATATATTTAAAATTATTTCTATTTTACGCTCAAGGCCATCTTTCAAGTTTGACACTCAGAATCATCTAGTTACAACTACCGTGGCTATACATAATTTCATCCAGCGACATTCGTCTACCGATAAGGAATTCAACTATTATGTTAACGAAGACATTACGGCAGAGATTGAAGAAGGAGATGGGCCTTATGATATTCCTTTCGAAATACAAAGCAAGTCTTCTACTAATATGGAGGCGTTGAGTGATAGAAGTAGAGATGAAATTGTTGAAAAATATTATCATGTATGAGTGATTTTACTTATTATTTCATAGTGGATTATTAGTATATAGTAAATTTTGGAATAGAATTCTAATTCATACTGAATGATATATTTTGATTATTCAAATCATCGTGTAACAATAAGTAATAATACTAGATAATATTATATGTTTTGGTATAACCATATATGTAAAATTGATTTAAATCTTTAATATGTTTGTTTACTTTATGTTTTATATTTTAGTTAAATAACAAAAGTCTATTACGATAAATATTTAAGTTCATTTTTCTCTTTAAAATAATTATAAGACCTTGGTACTATCCTTTTTGGTAATTTGGCACTCAAAAGCACTTTTTAGAAAGATTGGCCAAACACAATTTGTATACCAAATGTTGCAAAAAGTACTTCTTAAATGAATTGGCCAAACACAAATTGTTTTTTGCAAAAGTACTTTCGGAAAAAAATACTTCTGAAAAAAAGTACTTTTTAGAAGGCAGAATAGCCTCTTAGACACTTGTACTTGTTTCGGTTAGTCATCCCGGTCCTTGTAATCAACAAAGTTTCATCCAAACACTTAAGCTTGACCAAAACCTATATTTTAAACCCATCTGACCATTGACCAAGCACATGTGGCAACAAAATGGTTGAGCTGGACAATACGAGTGTAGTTCACGCAGACAACGAGCGTGAATATGACATTTTGAATAAGAAATAATTAAAATAAGAATGATAAATAAAATAAAATATGTAAAAAAGCAAAAAAAAAACAAAAAGCAAAAGACAAAATTCCCCACACCCCACCCCATTTTTCTTTTTCCTGTTAGCTTCTTCCCCCCACCCCTCCCCTTTTTGTTTTCTTATACGCTTCTTCTTCTTCTTCCCCAAACAAAAAACAAAAAGATTCTTGTTTTTCTTGATTTAATTACCGCCTGCAAATGCAAATGCAAATCATTGTTTGCACCAGGTAAGAACAATTCCTAATTCTTCTAAAAACGTCCACAGTAATTTCCCCATCCCTATTCCCATCAACTTTCCTCTTTATAATCCCAAAAGAGGGTCAAATCATTCAAGCCCAATTTCTTCATCACTACCCGATTACCTTATAGGAGCAAAGGCAGAAGGAGGATGGGGTAAAGGAAAGTATGGGAATATTTGACTTAGAGAAGTGCTCTCTCTGTTCCAGTTTATGTGAACCTATTTCCTTTTTGGTCCGTTCCAAAAAGAATGAACCCTTTCTAAATTTGGTAACAATTTAGCTTAAAGTTACAATTCTAACATTAATGAGAAGTTTTTATAACCACACAAATACTCTAGGCCCCTTTTTGACTTGTTTAGGACCACAAATTCCAAAAGTCTTCATTTTTTCTTAAACTCCGTGCCCAGTCAAACAGGTTCACATAAATTGAAACGGAGGGAGTAGTTTGCATTTTATGGCACATATCATAGCAACCCAATGAATATCTTGATTCACATGGTGTTTGTATGGCCAATCTTTTTCGCCGGTCTTATTCTTTTCGATTTTACACCCCACTTTTCAATTTACCTCTGATTCAGCTCTGTGAACACAGTTCCTTGGTCCTTAACTCCACTTATCCACTAACGCCGTCGTAATCTCTGTCATCAATGGCGGACAAGAAGAAACGCCGGCGAGCAGCTCACGACTCCGACTCCGATTCCAACGCCCTCCCTTTCAAATCCAAGCTAAAACCCGATTCCGTCATCCTCCAAACCCTAAAACCTCAAGGCCTCTTCCGCCGCCTCCGGTTCCAAAACCCTAACTCTCGCCGATATGTTTGCCTTTCCACCACCTGTCTTGAAGTGACTGACCTCCCAATCGACGAGGTACAATACAATATAAGAGTCACTGTCGGCAAAAATTTCGGCCAAAGTTCCGAAGACAATGGGGTAAGGATAAGAGGAAACGGAAGCATCGATCCGAATAGATGATTAATTATTTTTAATCTACCATGTGACATGGCATCTATACATTGTTATTTTTTGACGTGGCAGCCAACGTGGAGGAGGTTGTATTACACGCACTGACAGCCTCGTGTCATAAGCGTTTATTATACACAATTTGAAAGAGTGTTGTTCAACCGGCATATTGTTAAGTTTGGGGACCGGCATGACAAAATGACACAAGTATAGGTGCCATTTAGGCTATTCTGCCTTTTTAAAATAAGCAAATTTTGGCAGCTTGGCTAAACGGGCTCTAAAAAAGGAAGTATGACACAAAGTGTGAGAGATTGATATACCTGTAAGTGCTTTTATTAAATTATCCTCCGCCTCTCTAAGCTCAGTTTTCAATTTCTCAACTTTTGCTGCCGGGACAAAAGTATCAAAGCAAAAATATACCAATTAGTAATCCAACAGCGAGAAAGTTCAAAGCTGTAGATATTTTAATTTAACTGAAAATGCGCGCCCGACAAAATTAAACTTTTTAAAAATGGAGTGGTTAGAAATCGAAAATGTAACACTTCGAAAAGTTAACCTTGTAATTGAAGGTTTTGTTGAGCTTGGGTGTTGGTTGAATGCAGGGATTCCTCAAAGGAGGTAGTGCCTGCATTTATACGCTGCTGTTGAATAGAGAAATCCCTCCCACATTTTAATCTAAGTTCCTCCATTTTTGATCCTATACTTTCCCGTACTCCTTTCTCCATCTTTCTCAAACCCTTTTTTGGATCTCTCCACTGTGTCTCAGAGGGAAATTTGTGTGTATGAGATTTTTGAATACTGGGAGATTTTTTCCCCCAGCCCGCGATTTTCCTTTCCTATACTGTAAAATTTAAGTGGGGCATTTGTTTTCTGTTCTTGTTTTGTTCTTTGATAAGTCTTCCTTTGGATAAGCACTAAGCTTATACTATTTTTTTTTTTTTGGTTTATTTATTATATTTGATAAATATCAAAGTGCTTATTTATATATTTGATAAATATAATTTTACGGTTTATAAACACTTTTAGTTTAACCAATTCTTTTATCATTGTATCATTATATAATGTATAATCTCTGAATTATTCTTCCCAAAATAAGTTTTAATCATCTTTCTATTCTATTTCAGTCATTTATCTCTTTTTATGTAGAAATACAATAAAAGTTATATTTATAAATAGCTTTAAGGAAAAATATTGATTTCCCAAATACGATAAATATTTATTTTCATTTCTAGCTTTTTATCTAAATATGTGACTACTTATTTATAAAATTCTAACGCCTAAAAGTGCATTTCGGCACAACTACTAATTTCATCAGGTTTATTTTTCCATTCAAATTTTCTAAAAGCTGAGCCTTCGACATTTGATGAGTTCCTATAGTAACAAAATTTAAGAGCTCTATTTTGATTTTAGGCTTTTTGGCTATTATCCTTATCCACTTTCGTGCTTTCTTTAATTGCTAGAACTATATAATAAGGAACACTAGATGATTCTGGCCCGTGCTAGCAATCAGTTGTCTTTTGCTTATAAATGTATTCCTGGTATACCTTTCGGTTCAACTTATTTGGCACTAAAATTTTTATTAGTCCGTTCTAAAAAAAATAAAGTACTTTTCGTTTTATATTAGATGGGCGTTTTATATTAGATGAGGTAGTTTGATTGACGGAGTTTAAAAAAAAATTGAAACTTGTGATGTTTAACGGTAAAAAGTTTGTGGGGCCATGACATTTGTTATTCAAACAGCAATCTCGTTCCACTAACCCAGCAAACGGAATCGGTGACACTCGCCTGAAAAATCACAAGGCCACCACCATCGTTTACCTCTATTATCTCTCTCACTATTTTCTCTCTTTATTTTTTCAACCACCATGAAAACCAACAAGATCCATTATAGATCTTGACCAAAAAGTCGCCAAAATACCACTGCCTTATCCCCCTCCTCCTTCATTTTTTTTTTTTTAGTCATTTTCTCTTTTTTCTTTGCAATTTGTTAGATCTAAAAACTTAGGAGGTTTCGGAACTTTTTGAACTTAGTCGGAAAATGGATCCTCCCGAGATCCCACTGAAAATTCTCCGATCTCTATTTTTGCTTTGGCTTTGGACTTCGTTTTTACCATAAATAATCTTTCATGGCTAGTGGTTGCCAGCGTCCGTATTTTCTGTCAAAGCAAAAGTATTCCGACGAAGCGAACATTTTCTGGTGATGGCGTTTTAGTCACCTACGCTCGGATATGATGTTTATGGCCTAAATATGTACTTCCTTCGTTCGAGTTTATGTGAATCTATTTTCTTTTTTGTCCGTTCCAAAAAGAATGATACCTTTCTAAATTTAGAAAGAATTTTTAGCTTAAACTTCCAATTCTGCCCTTAGTGTGAAGCTTTTATAACCACACAAATACTCTGGACCTCTTTTTAACTTGTTTAGAACCACAAATTAAAAAAGTCTTCATTTTTTCTTAAACTCTGTGCCCAGTCAAACATGTTCACATAAATTGAAACGGAGGGAGTATTTCAAATGTGTTTCTAGCTATTTGTCACCAGCCAGTAGTGGTTTCTGTTACGTGAGTGTTTGGTGAGAAGAAAAAAAATACTAATAAGAAATGAGTAGAAGAGAAAATGGTAGGTGAAGAGGACGATGAGGTGGCAATAGGTCGTGTGACTTGGCAGTTGACATGGAAAAAATGGAGTGGGTCAGTTGCCACGGTGTAGATCCGTTAGGGTTATGGGCAATTTTTAAAAGTTTATTAACGGTAGAGGCTAGATTGGACGAATAGTATAACGAATGTCAGAAGTAAACAATATAGTATAGTAAAGGGGCAATTTTAGACCTTTTCCCTATAATATATATCCAAAGTCATAATAATTCTAAAAACAACCTGAGGTAGTTATTATGTTTAGAGAGCTAACTCTTACAAGGCTCAAAAATAATATATATATATATATATATATATGATGGTTCAAAGAACAGAGCTTAACAATGAAGTTGAGGCGTGCATATGGATTGTACAGACCTATGAGAGTGTATAAACCACGATGGAGTCTGCAGAAAGGTGTGGAGAAGATTCACAAGAAGGTAATTGAAAGAGGAATCCAAGTAACACAATATTTTAGGGAAGGGAATGTAATTGCAGATGCTTTGGGCATTGGGCTAAAGGTCAAATATACCCCGGATCAAGTTTACCCTCCGTTATACTTTTGGTCAAAAAATACCCCCACGTTTATACAATTGGCTCAAATATACCCTTTCTCCGTTAAGATTATCGAAGGTGAACGCCCTATCCCACGTGGCACTGAAATTTTAGACACGTAGCATGCCACCTCACTGCCCCCAACCTATTTTACCCCTCTCCTTCACTTCTTCTTCCGCCACTAGCATCTCCTACCCTTCACCACTAGTGCCACCATCAAAGCCACTATTTTCACTATATTGACCTCCACTAACACCCTCAAAGCTTCACACAAGAAAAGTGCCTAACCAGAAACTACTTCCAAGCTCTTGAGGACATGATATTAAGAATCAAGGAAAAATGGTAAACTACTAGAATCATCCCTAATATGACTCAAAAGATTACATTCAGGTGCATCGTTACTATTTCCTACTTCAGGGTACGTATCATGACATACGATCTAATTAGTTAATTTTTTTTATAAAATATTATTTGCGCCAGAAAATTTCTAGATCATTTTCTCAATTGTAGTGGAAATAGTGGATGGAGCATGGATATAACGTTTAGGTGATTCTGGAAATACTGTTCTCGTGACAGTTTTGAGCATTAAGGGCTATGTAACATAACAATTGAGAACTTGAAGGAAATTGATTTAAGCCAATAGATGCCATTAGTCATTCTTAATATATTTTCACAAGTGAGGTATGGGGAGGGTAGGATATACGCAACCTTAATCCTACCTTGGAAGGGCAGAGATATTATTTCCGGAAAACCCTCGGCTAAAGAAAAGATGTAAATAACACTGATAGCAAGTAATAACAATACATGATATTTAGAAAACTAAATCCAAGATAAAAAAAGGGAAGATGAAAGAAGTACTTATCACAGGTAATAACAGTGCAAGATATATAATGATATCAAACTAAAAGGATACTGATGGCAAGTACTAACAATACAAGATATGTGGAAATAGCAAACTAAGGGTAAAAGAGATACCATACTAACACTAATATTGTTGAACTAAGGAAGACAAAGGGAAACGCTAAAATACATACTAACCTTCTACCCTAATTCTCAACCTCCACACCCTCCTATCAATGGTCATGTCCTCGGTAAGCTCAAGCTGGGCCATTTCCCGCCTGTTCATGTAACGACCCGACCGGTCGTTTTGCATTTTTTGAACCTCGTTCCCTTAAATAAGACTTCCCGCACTTGCTTTAGCTAATTTATGACTTGCGGGGATGGGTGGTTCGGAAGTTAGAAGAGTTTTGAGCAAGAATAAGTCTAGTTGCTTCCTTAAGTTTCTTTAAAAATGCCAAGTTTGACTTCGGTCAACATTTTGGGGAAACGGACCCGGAATCGTGATTTGATAATTTCTGAGGGTCCGTGGGAAAATATGGGACCTGAGAGTGTGCACGGAATCGAATTCCGAGGTCCCTATCCCGAGTAATGAACTTTTATGTAAAATTGTTAAGTTAAAGTTTCAAAGGTTTAAAGAAACTAAGAAATCATTGTTTTCCTAGGTATCGGGTTCGGATTTCGATTCAGAAACTTGGTACCAGTCCGATATATCAGTTAAGACTTACCTGTAAAATTTGGTGTCAATCCGAGTGGGTTAAGGGCGTTTTGACCCGTTAGGGGGAAATTTAGAACTTGAAGGTTCAATGATTTGAATCATTTGGTTTTGGGGTTGATTCCCTGATTTAGCATTGTTTAAAGTGTTTCGAGGGCTCGAGTAGGATCGCCTCGTGATTTCAGACTTGTCGGTATGTTCGGGCGGGGCTCAGGAGCCCCGAGTGTCAAATGGTCGAGGTGCGAGTGAAGTTGAAAACTTAGGAAAAACCTTATCTGCTGCTTCTGTCATAACCGCTTCTGCGGCTCTTAGACCGCAGAAGCGGTCGTTTTATTGCAGAAGCGGAAGGTGCCAGGCCCAGGGGAAACCGCAGGAGCGGACCCCTGACCGCAGAAGCGGTCCATCCGCCCAGGCCCAGAACCGCAGAGGCGGTGGGCTTTCCGCTTAAGCGGCCTCGCAAAAGCGAGGTTATGACCACAGAAGCGGCCCAGGCCCCTTGCCCATTTCCGCAAAAGCGGCTCATGTCCGCAGAAGCGGAACCCCCAGAAGCGGGATTCCTTCCGCGAAAGCGGAAATCACTGGGGGCAGAAGGGTTCACTAATACGAACCCAAACTCATTTCTTCCACATTACTCTCAACACTTAGGCGATTTTGGTGATTCCAAAGAGGAGGTTTCAACATAACATTACAAGGTAAGTAATCCCCACTCATTTTTAGTTCAAATACATAACCATTAGGTAGATTTAACACTAAAAATTAGGTAAAATCAAGGGATTTGAGCTAGACCTAGGGTTTAATGAAAACTAAGGTTTTATCACATAATTTGCCATGTAGTGAACTAGAAATCATATATTTGTGATCCTTAGGTGATAGAGAACAACTTCCTTCGAAAAAAATCTCGGAATCCGGGCATGTGGGCCCGGGGTCGGAATTTAGGAAACTTGTGTTAATGGTTAGGAAATTGCTTAAATAGCTAGAACTCAACCTTGTAAGCCTTTATTTACTAGTTCTTACTTCGTTTGATTAGTTTGGGATTGTCCGGCTTCGAATTATTAAGGACTTGGGCTCGCTCTTGGACATTGGGAGTGCACTTTGGAGCGAGATGAGTCTCTTTTCTAACCTTGTAAGAGGGAATTGTCCCCATAGAATT